GTTTTTGGTTAGGTTTTGAAGTGCTAGGGGCCAAAGGTTGTTCCTGGCCATGAAAATTCTTGCTGCAAGTTGAGTGGCACAATTTGCAAAGGGTCGGGAGAAAAGGAACAATGAGTGAATGCCAGGATTAAATAGGGTCCTTTCTTAGCTTCCATATAGAAAGAAAAATGAAAAAAAAAAAAAAAAAAAAAAAAAAACCCTACTGAAGATTGCATTGGGTTTTTAGCTATTAAGTAGATTTGATTTATTAGGATAATATGGAAAATACCTCTGTGTACTCTCTGTAGACCCATAGATCAACAAAGAAATACTCGTGACATATTATGTGAGCCTTCCTTCTAATGACTATTCCCTTTTTTCCTGTAATCAGGCTCTTGTAACTACATGGATAAACTCTATCACTTCTCATTATTCTCCATCTCTAGTGGTGAACAATTAGAGTGTAACTCTCACTTACATGCTGAAATTACTCAATATATGGATTGTAGTTTCATGTTGCAGTCTTTGTAAAGTCATTCATCATTTAACTTTCTTATTCAATAACTGAGATTGCAGAACTTGCTGGCCTCAGAATATAATGGATGAGTGAAAAATACATAGTAAGAGAATATAACGTGGTTTGATTAAAGAACTGCTTTAAAGTACATCATTTTTTATTTTGAAAACATTTGGGTAAAATAAAATAACCAGTTGCAATCTACTCCAACTTTTAAGGGAGCTGCTTTTACTGCATTGCAGGCAAATTTCTGGCAATTCCATCAGCCATGTCCTCAGTCTTCAACAGACAAAGGAAATAGGCATTGTTCATTAAAATCCGCAGTGATCATTCCTAAAAAATCATTATTGTTCCAAATAGTGACCTATTTTTGAATTAGAAAGTTAAACTAAAACAATCCTATGGGTTACAGCCAATAGTCATGCTGACTCCATGGGAAGCATGAATGCACTATTGCTATTACTGCACATTCTCAGCCTCAGGATGCATCTTCAGCTCTTGTTATAGAAAACATGCAGTACACTATCTTACCTCAAGGTAGTTTTCATTATTTCAGTGAATTGGTCTGATAGTTCAGTTAAAAGTTAAGGTTGTCTTCTTGGGAAATTATTTAAGCTATTAAAAAGTAGAATTCCTCCCTGAGTTTCAAAATAAAGTTTTTTGATATTAGCTATTCCAGTAGCCCTAGCAGGGCAATCATCAGGAGGTTATTTTTAATGCAAGTACACAGATTTAACGATTTTCAGTTTGGAGCAAGGTTATGCAAGATAGTCGTGCTATATTGCATAATCCCCATAGCTCCTCTTCTAGCTGCCATACTAATGGCAGGTAGAGTG